ACGGAAAGGACCTTGGAGGTCTTCTAGTCCAACACCCTGCTCAGGCAGGAAACCCTACACCACTCCAGACAAATGGTTGTCCAACATCTTCTTAAAAACTCCCAGGGTTGGGGCATTCACAACTTCTGATGGCAAGCTGTTCCACTGATTCATTGTTCTAACTGTTAAGAAATGTCTCCTTAGTTCTAAGTTGCTCCTCTCCTTGATTAGTTTCCACCCATTGCTTCTTGTCCTGTCCTCAGGTGCTTTGGAGAATAGCTTGACTCCCTCTTCTTTGTGGAAACCCCTGAGATATTGGAACACTGCTATCATGTCTACCCTAGTCCTTCTTTTCATTAAACTAGACATACCCAGTTCCTGCAACTGTTCTTCATATGTTTTAGTCTCCAGTCCCCTAATTATCTTTGCTGCTCTTCTCCGCACTCTTTCTAGAGTCTCAACACCTTTTTTACATCGTGGTGACCAAAACCATGTTCCTCCCATCATGGCTAGCTTGTGTTTTTGTTCTGAAGTCCAACTAAGATCAATTCATGACATGCTGCGTCATTTGGGAACTATGTCGAAACCACAGACTTCAGAGTCCCAGTTTGGGCTTGGACTTTAAACAAGATTAGATCTTGTTAGATTAAGGTTAGATCTTAACCATTCACCATTAGACTTGAAGGGCACGTCCTAATCTAATCTTTAAATTAATCAAAGAGAGAAGCAACCTGGAATTAAGGAGAAATTTCCTAACAGGGAGGACAATTTACCAGTGGAACAGTTTGCCATTAGAACGTTGGAAGAAATGTCCCACTGGGTTCAGTTCCAAGTGGAGAGGAAGACACTGGAAACAATGGTGACTGCTTGAAAGATGGTTTTTAATGTGGACAGGACCACATGGCTTGAGGTTCTGGGAAAAAGGTTAGAGAGGCTGAAAGTGCCCGATGTTTGCACTCTGCACGCCTCCCAAACCCTCTGCACGGCTCATTTTTTGCAAAAAAAAAGGGGGGGACATGCAGAGCTTTGGGAGGCTTGTAGTGTGTTCAGGGGGTTGGGGGGGGGCAAAAGAAGTAAAAATGGTCCATTTTTTGCTCATCCCCCCCCCCCAGCCTCCAGGAGCATTCTACAAGCCTTCCAAAGCCTCTGCACGTCCCATTTTTGCAAAGGGGGTGGGGTTTCAGTAGGCCAAAAATCTGTATTCAGTGTATAAGACACACACAGATTTTCACTCTCTTTGGGGGGGGGGGAGTTGCATCTTATACTCCAAAAAATATGGTATGTCTTAATCCCATCACCCTAGAGCTGAAGGGGAGGGAAGGCAGGGAGCTGCTTTGTCTTTAAAACGTGTTTCTCCTTTTCTCATCCAGGGAAACATAATATTCTGCCTTTTTAGTATTTCCTAAAATATTTCATTCCCCTAGAAGCAGGTTGGGTGCTAACTTCCTACAAGAAATTGTGGGCACTCCCATCACTGGAGGTTTTTGAAGAAGAGACTGGACAGTCAGTTGTCTGGGATGGCATAGGTTCTCCTGCTTGGGCAGGAGGCTGAACTAGAAGATCTCCAAGGTCCCTTCCAGCTCTATTCTTCTCTTCTTCTCCTTCTCCTCCCCCTCCTCCTTTTCTTTTTCTTCTGCCTGAGCCGTAAAAGCCAGGCTGGGAAGACTGAAAACATTGGGGAAGGCGGCAGGAGCAAACACAGCTGGGCTGTTGCCAACAATGTTGCACACATAGGTGGGGGGGGGGGAGAGGGATGTGTGTATATACACACTTCCCTAAACTTTAGAGAGGTAAATAGCCTGAAATCCTAAGCAACAGTTGTGTTCACACGTAATAAGTAACCCGGAAGTTAACAAAAGGCTTCCAGCTTCCAAAATTTTCTTTTAATAGTTAAGGGAAACGGAGAGGGGTGATTGCTAGAAGAAAAACTTCTTGGCACAGTCTTAAGCTGTCCTTAGTAGAGGTGCGACTTTTGTTTAGAGAGCCACGCAAACCAGACCTGACTTGTTTCGCTCTGAGTATTGCCAGAAACAGAGTTGTGGGTTTGTACTTGGCTTCTGCACCTAACTCTGTTAAAGGCAAGAGGACAGAATTTCCAGTTTTAAGCAGATCGCTGATGGAGAAATGCCGAGCAGATCCATTCGTTTTGGTCCGTTGCTCATGCAGAATTCCAGCACTCTGCAACCCACACAAACCATGTTCGTTCTGGCAGTAGCCCAGCATCTGGCAAATCCTGGCTTAGCATGGCTTGCAACATGGCAAAGGCTCTGTTACACCCAAATACCACTTTTTGGAGTATAAGATGCACTTTCCCCCACCTTGAAAGAGGGTGGAAATGTCGGTGTTTCTTATACATTGAATACGGCCATTTTTGGCCTCCTGAAACCCAGAGGTGATATTCAGCCAGTTCTGACTGGTTCTGGAGAACCAGTAGCAGAAATTTTGAGTAGTTTGGAGAACCAGCAAAAACTGCTTCTGGCCGGCCCCACCCCCATCTATTCTCTGCCTCCTGAGTTGCAAGTGATCAGGAGGAAATGGGGATTTTGCAGTATCATTCCTCTGGAGTGGGGAGGGAATGGAGATTTCACAGTATCTTTCTCCTGCCACGCCCACCAAGCCACGCCCACAGAACAGGCAGTAAAAAAAATTGAATCTCACCACTATCGAAACCCAATATGGAAAATAATCTTTTTTTCTTTTTTGTTTGGGAATATAATTAACGCCACTGATAATAAATGGGGTTTGCTAAAAGATGGAAATACACCACATAAAATAGAGAATGGAAGGGAGATAAAGAGAGGGAAAGAGAGAGAAAGGATACAGGAGAGAGGGAAGTAGAAGAGGGAGAAGGTGTGGAAAGAGAAGAGAGGAGAGGGAGTGAGCAAGGGGAAATAGAGAAGAGAGGGCAGAGGGAAGAAAGGAGGTGGGAGGAGGAGTGAGGGAGAGGAGAAGGGTGGAAGATGAAATAGACTATAATATGGTATATGGAAAGCAGAAGAGCAAATAAAAATTGAAGAGGCTTAATGGCAAGAGGAATTGATATATTACTGAAT